CCTTCCGGAGAGACAAAATGRCCCAAGTATTCAAGCTCTTGCCGGACAAACTCGCATTTATCGCGGTTAGCTTTGTACCGGGMTGACCGAAGAGTCTCTAGAACACGACGAAGGTGCTCGAGATGCTCCTCTAGAATTCGGCTATAGACGAGGATGTCGTCCAAGTAGACCAAGACGAAGCGGTCCAGCATAGCGCGAAACTCGGTGGTCATGGCCGCCTGAAAGGTGGCCGAGGCATTGGTGAGGCCAAAAGGCATAAATACCCACTCAAAATGTCCATATCGCGTCTTAAACGCGGTTTTGTACCGATCTTGCGGGCGGATGGAAATCTGATGGTASCCCGACTTGAGGTCCAACTTCGAAAAGTACTTGGCGCCGCCCAACCGCTCAAGCAAATCGTCAATGCGAGGTAGAGGCCCCGCGTTCTTAATGGTTTGCGCGTTGAGGCGTCGGTAGTCAAYGCAAAGTCGAAGGTCCTTGTTCTTCTTCCGAACGAAGAGAACAGGCGCACCGTAAGGTGAGCTGCTAGGGCGGATCCAACCCTTGTCAAGTAGATCGTCGAGTCGCGCACGGAGAACCGTGAGCTCTTCCTCGGACATGCGATAAATGCATCCCTTCGGTGGCACGGCGCCGGCCTCAAGTATGATCTCGTGAGAGATTGGCCGGTCCGACACTATACCGGAGGGTATCTCAAAAACATCCGAGAACTCGTCTAACAACCGGGTCACACGGGGGTCGGAAGACACATCCGTGGACGATGAGTCGGTCGTCGGGACGGTTCGAAGAAAAGCGATGCCAATTTCTTCGACATGCTCGGAACGGCATGTGTCTCGAAACGATTTGGCACTCACGACTTGGCACCGAATGGAAGAGCGAGGAGGAGGAATAGTACACGGGACCTCGGCGCCAGTTGCATCACGAATCGTGAGCGTGCGTCGATGGAAATTGACCGTGTGGTCCGCGCTAGAAAGCCARGGCATCCCCAAAATGACATCGAAGTCGGTGTCCAACACGTCAAAAGTGACGGGTTCACATGCGTGCGGTGCAAAGTACACCGGGACACCCGAGATGTAACGGTCTAAAAGTTGTTTCGTCTTACCGTCGGCAAGAGCGACCGTCGTCGGATGTGACTTCCTCCGTACTTGTGCGYCAAGGCCAGCCCGAGTCATGAAGGACTGGCCGATGAAGTTGCGAGTTGCGCCGCAATCTAGCAAAGCGTTGCAGGCCGCTTGCCCAATCTGAATGCGAACGTAGAGTAACGGTGCGTTGTTTTCTTCGTACCATTGCGAGACAAACTCGCGGGCCACCTTGGCAACATAGCCAAGCATGTCCCCCACCGCGACTTCGTCTACCGTCGGCGAAGTTGGTGGTGCATGGAAGGAAAGATACTCGTGTAAGAGGGCGCATATTGTTGCGCTTTCAGGCCCCGGAAGGTTGCCCATCGTAGGGAGAGGAATCCAAGCGAAGTCCTCGGGCGTGAGCGGGTCCAAGACC